GGTCGCCTCCCGCAGGAAAGTGCCCCTTCTGGTGTCTGGCACCGGGTGAGTAGCGCGCGGCACGCCTCGGGCCGCATCTGTCGCTCCCGGTCCCCTCCTGCCGCGCGACTGCGGCCGGACCCCGCCCCAGGGCGGCCGAGCGGCGGCGGGACCTGTCAGGTTGGCCGGGAAGTGGGCGCAGGCTGGAGGGGAGGGGAGGAGGGTCAGCCATGAGGCCCGGGCCTGGAGATCGAGGGTCCGGGAAGCTGCAGGGCGGATGAGGCCGGCCGGGGAGACGCCCCGCTGGAAGAGGTGGCCGGGGCCCCGGCAGCGCGTGGGCCGGCCCCGAGTCACCTGGATGACTGCACACACCTGGTGCCTGTGACCTCCCGGCGGCCCCAACCAGTCACTTAGAGCCAACGGGCTTATTCGTGTGCAGCACCTGCTCTGCGCCCCACATGCCAGATGCTTTGGGGGATGCAGGAGCTTTCTAGGGCATGGATCTTTCCTAAGGTGAAATGCCGAGGAAACGACTAGAGAGCCCGTACCGGGGTGCGTGGTTAGTATAGTCTAAAATATAATGATTTCCATAAGAGTTGCAATTCTCACTGTATCTTGCATCTTGCAAAGATTTAGTTCATTCCTGTTGATTGAAAAAAAGGACAGATAACAGAAATCAGGAAAGGCTTCCTTTGGAAAAGAATCGTGACCTGATTGAAGGTCTTGAATTCAGCCCTGGGAGGGATAACTTAGTATTTCTGGATGGAGCTGTGGGAGGAGGTAACAAGAGCAAAAGCTCAGAAGGTGGGAATTGTGTCACGTGGAGAGGAGACTGGGGAGGCCAGCCCGAATGGAACAGAACTGTAACGAATAATAGTTGGAAACAAGCGTAGGTAGGTGGGTAGGTAAGTGGGGCCTTGTTATGGATGTCTTAAAACTTGACCAGAAATAAAAGATTACGTAAGAGGCCTTAGAGAGTCCTTTTAGATTCTTCACTAAGGGAGTAATATGAAGAAAGTGGTGTTTAGAGGATTAGTTTGGCAGCTTTTGTTGGATGGATTTGGAATGACCTTGTGGTAAGAGAAGAATCATAACATTTCAGAGTTCAGCAGGACCTTGTAGATTATCTTGTGACACCCCCCCCTTTTTTTTTATAATTGGGGAAAATGAAACCCAGAGAGGTGAGATAATTTGCCCAAAGCCACTTGAGGAATTCTTGTGGTGCACCCATTTTCTCTGTAAGCCTCAGGTGGACCCTCCTGGATTTTATAACTAAGTGCACAGCTTTTTGTTTGTTTGGGCTCTGTTGAATAAAACAACTTCTGTGACGGCTGGCGTGATACTTGTTTATGCTTTATTGAGACTGAGTTTAGATGTAATGAACTGCAACTTCTGAAGGACTGATCCCAGGTGAGGCTTGCTAAGGTTAGGAAAGACAGGAAGATTCAGAGCCCCTAAGTGGGGCTGGTTTTCCCTTTCTCCCAAGATTCAAAGACACCAGATATGTAGAGATGAGTTTCATCATCCCTGTCTGCCAGCATCTTTGATTAGGATCTTCTTTGCTTATTTCACATATTGGCTATGTGGTGGCATTGCTTGTTATCCCCAGCTAAGTGTCCACATTTTTATGGTAGTGAATTTCAGCTGCTTATACGCAGGATATCGGGGGCCAGCGGGACTAGCTCTGGAGCTAGATTTCCTGAGTACAGATCCTGGCTCTAAGCGCTACCATTTCCTAGCTGTGTGGCAAGTTGTTTATTCTCTTTTCCTTAATTTTCTTATCTGAGAAATAGGGCTAACAGTACCTGTATCATAAGTTATGATAATTAAATGTGTTAATACATATGAAACGCATAGACCAGTGCCTGGCACATCTTTTTTTTTTTTTTTTTCCTTTTTGTCTTTTTTCGTGTCCGGCAATGGATCGCAACCCTCAGTGTCGCGCCCGTACCGGACCGGGACCGGCAACGGGATCGCAACCCTCGGTGCTGCGCCCACACCTCGCTCAGCCAGTGAGCGGGAACGGTCTGTATGTGGGATCTGAACCCTCGGCGGGAGCGCCACCATGCTCCCAAGCGGCGCACTGTAGCAGTGCGCCACCGGGCCCTGGCACATCTTTAGTATTCAATCACATATAGTCTGTTGTTAGTACTGTTTCTTCCAGGTATGGAGCAAGAGGTAGTTGGTTAGTTTTGTTTTAAGGATCTTTTGGGGAAGAGACCAATGGAGTTCATGCTGAACCATGGGTAGATCACAGAGAAGAGCTTTATTTTGGAATTCAGATCCAGGACCTACCTTATAAAGAACATATGTACATGTAATTCTGTTTGGAACAGAAAAGAACCTTATGTATGCATTTGCTTAACTAGTATTTACTGAGCACCTGCAATGTAAGAGACACTCTGCTAAATTCTACAATCCAAGGTGGAAAGGCAAAAGGCCATAGAAATATACAGTAGTCTCCCCTTTTCTGAGGTTTTAGTTACCCGTGGTCAAATGAAGTCCCAAAACAGGTGAATAGAGTACAGTAAGATATTTTGAGAAAGAGACCATATTCACATAACTTTTATTACAGTATATTGTTCTATTTTATCATTGTTGATCTCTTACTGTGCCAAATTTATAAATTAAACTTTATCATAGGTATGTATGTATAGGAAAAAACAAAGTGTATATGGGGTTCGGTACTATTTGAGGTTTTGGGCATCCACTGGTGGTCTTGGAATGTATCCCCTGTGGATAAGGGGAGAATGCTGTATTTGTAAATTGCATGGCAATGTAATAGTATTCAGCAATAAAAAAGAGTGAACCACTGATAAACTCAACGAGGTAGATGAATATCAAAACATTATATTGAGTGAAAGAAGTCAGGCATGTAGGAGTATACACTGTATAGATTCATTTATAAGAAGTTCAAAGACATAACTAATCTATGGTGATAGAAATCTGAACAATGGTTGTCTATGGGAGAGGGTGATTGACTTGGGAACTTTCTGGAATGATGTTAACATTTGTAACTTGATTGAAGTACTATTACATGGGTGTACACATTTACAAAAACTTATTGTTAAGGTTTGTACGTTTTACTGTATATAAATTTCAGTGCAGTAAAGCAAAATGATACAGGAGTTCAAAGGATGGAGAGTTTACTGCCAACTGGGGCGATCATAAAACCTATAATAAAGAAATAACAGTATTATAATGTATGTGGTAAGTGTTAAAATACATATTTTCAGGGGAAAGTTTACCTGTTGTTAAGAAAAGCTGTAAAAATTAAGTTTGGCTGTCTAAAAGAAATAGCTGTAATAATTTATAGAACTGATTACTTTTTTTGCCTAAATATGCAGCATAAAAACAATTTTATGTCATGAAATATGTGAGGTTAATTTTGTGAAGTGCTTTAACTTGATTATATACTAAATTCTCTTTATGATTGCTGTTTTCAGACTGATTGTTGCTCATGTCATTTGATCCTCCCAATTAGAACAAACATTAGTCTTGACTACAGTAATGACCAGGGGAATCCATGAGAAATTTCTAAAGATTCTGATAGACCTTGGTGAGGATGAGACTGAATCAAAAATGACCTCAGGTTTGGGCCCAAGAATTACTCACTGCCCTTACGTGTGTGAGCTCCTCCACTCTCAGGGCCTCAGCTTGTGCCTCTGCTCATGAATCAGCCGTGCTAAACAAGACCCCCTGAGCATCCTGTCCCCTGGGCTTCTCCACTGCGTTCTACTGTATCTTGGCTAAAACTTGAATTCTTTGTCATCCCTTTGTTCACAAAACCAGCTCCTCCTTCCTCTCCGTAATTACCTCATTTTTGAGTGATACCTTTATGCTACCAGTTTTTCAACTGGTACTTAAGAAAAGCACATTGAAGGACAGAGCTTTGAAGGAAACTCCAATTAGGGAGCAAGAACTAGCCAATCAGCAGAGGGATATCAGCTAGAAGAATAGGCTAGAGGTGATGGGAATGTTGAGGAAGGGGTGATTTTGTGGCAGTTATAAAAGGAACCCATGGAACTTGTATAAAAATTGAATAGAAGGAGTTAAAATTTTCTAACCAGAAATAGAAAATTCCCTACCCAGTGCAAACTTGACTGTGATCCCTTCGAGCTTTCTAAAATTCTGTGGCTGTAGTTGTGAAATAAAGGCATTGTCCTATTTTAACATTAAAGATGTCAAGGAAACAGTGGCTTTATTAGTTTTCTACTGGTGTATAACAAGTTACGCCAAAACTTTAGCACCTTAGAAAACAATAAGTTTTTGAGGGTCAGGAATTCCAGAACCCAGTGGTTCTGGCTCAAGGTTACAGTCCGGACGTCAGCTGGGGCTGCAGTCATCTGAAGGAGGATCACCCTTCACAATGGCTGACTCACGTGTCTGGCAAGTTGGTGCTGGCTGTTGGCAGGAGGACTGTTTCCTGCTACACGGACCTTGCTATAGGGCTGAGTGTCCTCTTAACCTGTTACTGGCTTCCGCAGATTGAGTGCTTCACTACAGAGCAGGGCAGAAGCTGCAGTGTTTATTATGACAAAGTCACACACCATTTTGCAATGTCTTCAGGTCAACCCTTTTCACTGTTGGGGACTGCACAAGGCAAGAGAATTGTTTAGGCCCATCTTGGAGCCTGGTTAGTACCGTGGCCACAGGAGCCAGTTCAGATGCTTTCAGGGGCCAGGGAGGTAATATAAACCAACACCAGCTAGGACAAGGAGACGTAGGGAGTAGTGGGGATTGCTCGTTGAATACTCATTATCTACAGAAATTTGGGGATGCTGGTCAAGTGATGCTTTATTGTACAGTGTTCAGGATGTCTGAAATTCAGGTTTTTATGTAAAATATTGTTTTTTAAAATGTTGGCAAACATTCAGTTTTGAAAAGAGGCATTTTAAGGATCATTCCTGTGGAGACTAAATAAACTTCCCTGCAGACTGCATGTAATTTGGTAGCTGTCAATTTATGACTTTGATCTACCCAACCCTTTTATTTTATGGATGAAGAAATGAGGCTCGGGAGAGTTAAAATGACCAAAGGTCATGAACTGGTGAGTGACAGAACTG